GATGAATTCAAAAAACGTTCAATACAAAAACAACTGGACTCTATTTGTAACAGAAGACGTTTCGCTCCTCATCCGAGAAGCTTTCTCAACTCAAAGAGCAGAAAGTGACTGATTCAGGTTATAAGTACATCTTCACGCTCCGCACGCATGCGCACTACGACTGAGCGAAACGTCCCTCCCGTGTTCAGGAATGATTTGTTTTTAAATGTATCGTTCGGTCAAAAGGATTCAGGACTTTATATTAAAATAATAAAAATTTGAGGAAATACCTTGATTGTTCAGAAGCGGGTTCGTCCCTGTGGCCACGCGCTTCAAACTTCCCGACACATGTTGCTCTGTACCCCACAGGTAGTAAATACTACACGGTTAAAGAGTTGTAAACTCAGTCATCCAGTCAGTGCACGGTTAGTTCACGTGCAACACGAAACTACTGGCGACGTACGGATCGATAAAGAATATCGATACCCAATGCAGGTCCGGTCTCATAGAAATATAATCAGTGTTTATAAGTATGGTCTCATAGATATCATATAATCATATAATCGGTGTTTATATCTATGGTCTCATAAATATCATATAATCAGTGTTTATATCTATGTCCGGTCTGGGATCGATTCTTAAACCAAACTATCGATACATTTGATGCTTCATTCATCTATCAGAGGGCGGTGGGCCAAATGTGAGAATACATGAAGCTGATATTTCTTTAAGTAAAACAATTTAATTTTTATATAGTTATTTAACCTTCTTTTCTGTATAAAGAAGGTTACAGAACACAAAATATCATAATATATAAGTCATATACATAAAGGTTGAATGACTATATAGGAAATTAAAACAAATATATAAATTTTGGCATTTCAATATATAAAATGTAGGTGCTGGTCATAAAATTAGAATATCATGAAAAAGTTTATTTATTTCAGTAATTCCATTCGAAAAGTGAAATTTGTATATTATATTCATTCATTACACACAGACTGATGTATTTCAAATGTTTATTTCTTTTAATGTTGATGATTTTAACGGACAACTAATGAAAACCCCAAATTCAGTATCTCAGAAAATTAGAATATTACTTAAGACCAATAAAAAAATGTGATTTTAGAAATGTTGGCCAACTGAAAAGTATGAGCATGAAAAGTATGAGCATGAAAAGTATGAGCATGAAAAGTATAAACATGAAAAGTATGAGCATGAAAAGTATGAGCATGTACAGCAGAGTCGATCAGTCAGTGGCACTGCTCAGGTGTTATGAGAGCCCAGGTTGCTCTGATAGTGGCACTGTGTGCAGGTGCCAAGTCCTGCTGGAAAATGAAATCTGTATCTCCATAAAGTTGGTCAGCAGCAGGAAGCATGAAGTGCTCTAAAACTTCTGTTGACCTTGGACCTCAGAAACCACAGTGGACCAACATTGATTGATTCAGTCCAATGCTGGAATAAAAATACAGTGCTTTGGCTTACGAGATTTTAATATAGTAATGAGGACAGCTCCTGGTGGCCAAAACAAATGGCTTTGTGGGCCAAAGTTGGCCCACGTGCCCCACTTTGGGCACCCCTGCTACAGACACAACAGCGGAGCAACAGAGTCATGTGTGGAGCTATTTCAGCTCCAAAAAGAGCCAAGAAGTGGTTTGTGAGGTTTGTAGAAAAACTCTAAAGAACTGTGACAACGCAACAAACCTTGTGAAACACTTCCGTTTAAATCACAACACAGGATATGAGGCATTGATGAGGTGGACAGCAAATTTGCTCTCCTCCTCCTCTTAAGAGTCAGGTGCTGCTTCTGCAGGACGAGACAGGCTCGTGAGGAGTCCCTCAGTGCTGCAGGACTATCCAGGAGGAAACACGGAGCTTTCAGTGGTGCTAACTGTTGCAGTTGGTCAGTGTTGTTCAAATTAATACATGTGGTTATGAAATAGGGGCAGCATGGTGGTGCAACTGGTAGAGCTGCTGCCTCTCAGCAAGCAGGTCTCCGGTTCAAATCCCGGTCCAGGGCCTTTCTGAGTGAAGTTTGCATGTTCTCTCCGTGCATGTGGTGGTTTTCTTGGTGTACTCCAGTTTCCTCCCAAAGACCAAAAACATGCATGTTAGACTAGACTAGACTAGACTAGACTAGACTAGAATAGAATAGAATAGAATAGAATAGAATAGAATAGAATAGAATAGAATAGAATAGAAACAGCCTTTATTGTCCCACGGATGGGAAATTTAAGTGTAACAGCAGCAAAAGATAAAAAGATTTCACACAAAAGTTCCTAAATGTTAATAAACAATACAATATATAAGAAATAAGATAAACAATATCAATAATAATGTTCATTATTTATTGGAACATTGATAATGGCAGACTATTTACAGTCCAGTATTTCAGGCAGAGTGTGTGTTTCAGCAGAGGTCAGCATGTATTTAATCCTTATTGAGTTTGTTGGGAGCAGTGATGGTTGTAGAGTCTAACAGCTGCTGGGAGGAAGGACCTGCGGTAACGCTCCTTTGTGCATTTAGGATGCAGTAATCTGTCACTGAACGAGCTCTCCAGTTCAGCACAGCTTCATGCATGGGGTGGGAGACGTTGTCCAGCAATGATGTTATTTTAGCTCGAGTTCTTCTGTCTCCCACCACCTGCACTGGGTCGAGGGGGCATCCAATTGGTATGATTGGTAACTCTAAATTGTCTCTAGGTGTGACTGAGAGAGTGAATGGTTGTTTGTCTCCTTTGTCATGTGTCCCTGTGATGGACTGGAGACCTGTCCAGGGTGTCCCCATCCCTCGCACATTGATTGCTGGACATAAGCCCCAGTGACTCCCATGACCCAAAATGAAACAAGGGGGTAAAAGATAATGGATGGATGGATGGATGGATATATATATATATATATATATATATATATATATATATAATTTGCATATAAATATAAATTATTGCAAATAAAGTTCTTTTTTGTTTAATTGAATGAAATAAACAATAAACAATGACCTATTTTATTCTGCAGAAACAGAAAGTTAGCCCAACGCAGCACAGTGTAATGGAGTCAGATGAATTAATCATAATTCACAGCTCACTGGAGGACTGAAGGATAATTGCACTGAACATATTTTACATTAATCTATTTTAAAAATGTTCCACAGGCTGCATAAGCCCAACTCATTTGTGATTTACAGTCTTGCTGGCAAAAATAAGGGCCTTTAATATTATGTCTTTGGTCTATTTTTATCTTTTTTTTACTAGAAATTTCATTCAGCTGCACCCTTCTGTGCATCTTAATGAGATCTGAGTCAGCAAGGTGTACTTCTCATGCACTTGAGGAATACTTGTGTCACACAGCAGCTTTTTTATCACGCTGCTCTCTGGGATGTTTGGGGGGTAAATAAGTCGTCATCTCTCCATCAAACTTCAAGAAAGTGCAGAAGGCCTCACTGTGGTGCCTATCCTGCCTGTAGTCAGTCATGAAATTAGGAAAGAAGAGCATTAGTTAATTCATTTCTGATGAGCTGGATGATGATCTGGTCAAGTTTGTTGAAAAACTTTGGATGGCACTGACAAAGAATGGATCCATACCGGATGGCAAAATCTAAAAAGCTGAGGTAGCGCAGGTGTTATGAGTCCAACAGGGTCTATCAAAAGAGCTGAGCTGCCACCCTAAAGAGCCCTAAAGAGGAGGAGATAAGGACCAGAGCACAAAAATTTGATTCTTACAAACATGCTATTAAACATCCCGCCTGATTGATCAAAGTTAAGTTGACATGATAATCTCAGTTTAACAGTCTTTTGTAGCTTATATTACTTTGTTGTAGTTTCCGACATTCCTCCTGACCATTTTAATTTAATTTTTTTTATTAAGTTTTTATCAACATTACAAACATGTGTCTGTCAGGGGTATATTTACAGGTACAAAAGTAATAGTATTCAAGTATAAAAAAGAACAATATGTTTATAAAATGGTTCAAGATGCAAAAAAGTCTAAAAAGATACAGAACAATCTATTTGCAGGTTATATAGATAAATTCACATTAAGTTTTTCTAGAACTGAGTTGGTTTTCCTTGCCTTTTTTTCCAAGTCCTTTAATCGTGGTGCTGTGTAAAGTTCCTTGCTGAAGTGGGTCATGCTTGACTTGGAGTTTGACCACTTTTTCTTGTGAATGTGAAATTTTCCCATGAGAAGTAGAAGTTTGGTGAAGTAGATCAAGTCTTTATCCATATCCTTATCGTCAAAGCATAATATAACGTCTTTCTCTGTAAGATGAATTATTTGTCCAGTTTTCTGTCGTATGAGTTGTACATCTGTCCAGAATGCATGTATGATTACATTGATAGAATAAATGAGAGATTGTTTCCATGTGTAGTTCACAAAATGTGCCAGAATAGTCAATATCAAGTTTAAATCTTTTTTAACAGGGTATACATTATGATTGATTTTATATGAAACCTTTCTAACTTTATTTGTTATGCAATTTTTTCCCCATTTAACCAAACATGTTTCCAATTAATTTCTCCAAATGTAGAGGACCCAAAAAACAAAACAAAACAAAAAAAATCTACCAGGAGGTAAAGTAATCTTCTGCAGACATGTTCTTATAAGTTTGTTGGAACATGTTTTTTTTTTTTGTTTTTTTTGTGATATCCATTCCACCTAGCATTATGGGGCTTCTAAGTTGGTCTCTAGATAAATGATCAGATTGTGTTCCTTTGAAGAGCTGCATCATGGAGTTTGGTAGAGCATCAAAAACTACAGCATACTCTTTAGGTGATGCAGGTATGTTCCTCCCGACCGTTTCTGCGTGGAAAAACAAGTATCATGAAACAAAACACTTCACGATTTCGAAGCAGGAAGTGTTGCCGGGGCAACGCAGGAGACGCACCTCATTGGCTACTTCCCGTTGCCATGACATCGCCGCTGCGAACGCTTCAGCGAAAGGCATTCTGGGAGAAAAAAAATATAACAACCGCTATGCGGAATATACTCGTTTTGAAAGCCCAAAACTCCTTTATCTGAACAAATGCCACCAAAATGAAGGTTCGTACCCATGAAGGCACTTATAATAAACAATTTAACAGGTTTTTTTAGTCATTTTAGTGTGATTTCGCTCACGTAAATAAAGTTTAGCGGGCTCTTTTGTGCGCTGGTTTGAGCTAATGTTCGGTTGTGGATGTTAGCTGCTGTGTTGAAGAGTCAACCATAAAACTCCTGTATCCAATCAGACCCAATGTTTTACTGATACAAACAAGTGATATACCCTTTTAGAGTGGTTGTAATGTCTCATGAGACAGCTAATGTTACGGTTTGTAGCTCCAGCCTACAGTTATGATAAAAAATAGTCCTGTGAAGGTGTAATATTCATAATAATTAATACTATTGGGCTTTTTTCAGGTCCTAAAACGTGATGAATGGGTTCTCGGATAAGCAGTATATTACACAGTATACGTTGTTATTTGTTTAACACAAAATGTTATCAAAATGCAAAGTCAGTGTCGTGAGTAGAAAAACTAAATGCATCCCAGGGTTTGATGGTTGAAGCTCCTTGAGCTGCATCAACTTTAAGTCATCATTTTATGGATCTTCTTGTTTAACACATAATTAGGAAGGTGTTTTACAACTTAATTTAATTTAGGTTAGTTAATTTGTGTTGGGGGTTTTCTAAGGGGATTGGTGGTGCAGAGGTTGGAGAAGGTGGGCCTGTGATCGGAAGATTGCTGGTTCAACTCCCGGTACAGACAACTTCAAAAATGTGCCCACATTTGCCCCACTCTGGGCCCTTGAGCAAGGCCCTTAACCCCCACCATCTGCTCCCCTGGGTGTCCTAGATAGCAGCTCCCTGCTCCACACAGAGGGCTGTGGTAGCTCGGTGGTTGTGTCAGGAAGGGCATCCGGCATAAAAATAATTGCCAAGCCTTCATGCGACTTAGTTCGCCCTGAAGAAGAGAGAAGCCGAAGGGGGGGATTGTGTGTTTTTTTCATTATTGCATGAACCAGATTTGACCAAGTTTCAACGGTTGCACAGAAGACTACATTTTACGTAAAATACTTTGGTATACAGCAGTTAATTAAAGAAGTTAAACAGCAGAAAAAAATGATAAAAAGTCATCTTTATTTCCCCAGAGTGTTTTTATTCTTGCTGACAAAGCTTGGGCGGGTTCGTGCCTTCTGTATAAGTGGCAGAAAAGCCAAGGAAATTATATTGCTGTTGCTGGGTGAGTACGCGCTGGGATGAAGCCTAGTGGCCTTAAATAATTGTGAAAAAGTTTACTCTTAATTTAAGGTCAGCATAGCAAAGATAGTTATAACTTTGAACTTTGTTTCAAATCATACAGGCAGGACAATACAGTGAAAATATTTGATCGACATGGACAGAAGTGGACAGACCTCAACCTTCCAGGGTAAGTGTAGGAAGATCTTTAGAACCTCACTTTGATTTTGTTAAAAGTTTCCACATCATGCTCATTTCCTCTCCTCACACTCTTTAGCCGCTGCGTGGGGATGGATTGGGATAAGGACGGTGACATTCTGGCTGTGATAGCTGCAAAGTCCAGCTCCATCTACCTGTGGGACGCCAGTGTCAATAAAACATCGCATATAGACAGCGGCATGAGGTACGGCAAGCGTGCAGGGAGGGACATTCACTTGTGAACAGTTTTTATGCTCCAGCTTCATTGCTGCTGTTTGTTTCAGCAAAGACCAGATGACCTTCATCTTGTGGTCTAAAACTGGACCTCTGCTGGCTGTCGGGACAGCTAAAGGAAACCTGCTGATTTACAATCAACAGACCTCACGCAAGATTCCTGTACTGGGTAATACACACACCACAAGAACACTTCTGCATGATTCGTTAGTGTTTATTCTAGGTTATTTTATTGTTTGGTTACACTTATTTGTTTCCTCCTATGTCTGTTTTAGGTAAACACACCAAGAAAATCACCTGTGGGTGCTGGAGCTCTCAGAATCTACTGGCTCTGGGAAGTGATGACAACACTCTTAGCATTAGCAACCATGAGGGAGACACAATCAGACAGGTAGCTACAGTAAAACTCTCCCTGTGTGTGTGTAAGACTGTCATAGAGATGACATGTCAGAAGGCACATTATTGTTGCACAACGTCTTTAGAAGCAATAAGAAGATCCTGTTCATCTTTCTGGGTTTTTTCAGACAACTCTTAGAGGTGAACCTGCTGAAATTTACTTTTCTGTGATGAAGACGGATGAAAGGTCCTCTCAAGGGGAGGGAACTGTAAGTTTATCTGCAACTTCTATCCGTTTTTACAATTTATATGTGGGCACATTCTATTGTGAATAACATTTTTAATATAGAACAGTCTGTGGAGGATTGAGACAAATGATTGTTCAAATAAAGAAAATCCTAATATTTTAAACCAAAATTACCTTTTCAATGAAGTTTCACACAATCATTTAAAAAAGACATTCATGCCTATATAATACACGCTGACACTGGTGGTTTGATTAATCTCAACATTTTCACCTTGAGCCTTGTTACTTAATTTAAAAATTGCAATTTATTTATTAGTGTTCATTGATTTATTTTTAGGTCATTTAGACATACATAAATGTAATAAATATACACAAAAGTTCCTCTCTAATTCAAAATGTACTGATGCATGCTCAGTATTCCAGGCAGATAAATCTAACAAGGTTGAGTCAGGTCCTCTGGACGGGTTCTTCTTTGTTCATCCAAAAGACGAAACATTTCAACAAAGAAGAATCAATCCAGAGGACCTGACTTGGCCTTGTTAGATTTTCCTCTAATTGTTTTACTTTTATATGGCACAACAGTCGTAATTCTTAAGTAGACACCAGTCAACCATAACTTTAAGACCTTTGATAGGTTAAGTTAGAAATATTGCTAATTTTGAATAAATGTTCGTGATAGTGTGATCACTGATTCTTCAGGTGAGTGTCTCCATGGACAAGAAGATTCTGATGCTTTTCAATATCAGTGACCCTCAAAACCCAATAGAGTTGGCCTTTGAGCGTCGCTATGGCAACATCGTGTCCTATCGCTGGTACTGCTCACTGTAACACTCAATACTGGATTAAAGCTGAGATGTTTGTGCTCAAACCTGCTCCTTTCCTTCTGCCTGTCCAGGTACGGCGATGGTTACATCCTGATCGGCTTCTCCCACGGATACTTTGTGGTTATTTCCACTCACATCAGGGAAATTGGATTTGAGCTCCATCAGGGTCGCAACCATAAAGATAGTCTCAACAGTGTGGCCATCTCACCTGCACTGAACAAAGCTGCTTCATGTGGAGACAACAGGTATGCAGACGTTCACAAGAACTGCTTTTTGTTTTCCTTCTCTTAAAGCGTACTTTTGTTTTGGCTGCTGCAGCATAAAGGTCCATGAGTTGTCTGATCTCAACGATATCAGCAACATCGTTCAGCTGGATGATGAGACTAAAGGTGGCACCATTTTTGTTTTAATCAGAATTATTCTGTAAGATTGTCTTGAATGTGTCACCATGTTCTTCACTTCTTCTCCTGCAGGTCTGGATCAGATGAACTGGACAGATGACGGACAGCTGTTGGCGGTTTCCACTCAAAAAGGGACGATTCACGTCTTCTTGACCAAGCTACCCATGCTGGGGGACAGCTTTGGTACCCGGCTGGCCTACCTCACCTCCCTGCTGGAGGTCACAGTCTCCAACCAGGTGGAGGGGGTGAGAACAAATTCATCCACACACATAACAACAGATGATTCAGATTGAGTCAGATCTTTTTATTTTTTAAAGCTCTGACTTGATTTAAAGTTTGGCACATGATAGCATTGTCTGATATTTAATTTTTTTTTCTAGCATTTACAAAAAACGCATTTTCCCTAAAACAGTTCCAGGGCCTTGTTTCTGTCGTTGGTCATTTCAAACCATAATGCTCTGGGTTATTGGACTGAGGTATTTGTATTAAAATAAACACCTGGTTGCTGCAAAAATAGAGCTCTACCCTTTTTACATTTTTCCCAACCCTCAAAACACAAATTGTATCAGATAACAAGACAGACACATTTTCTGTAAATCCTTAAAATAAAATAAAATTCAAAATGTAAAATCCATCAAAATATTTTGGAGGGAATAAAACCCTTGAATCAGTTAGATTGTTGAATTACTTATTTATTGTAATTTTACTCATGTACAGCTTGAAAAATGTTATTATGAAACATTAAATCTAACTTATTCTGGTCTTGTATTTACAAATAGTAGTTCTCAAGTAAAGGTTTAAAATAACGGGTGTCAGCGAATACTTTAAAGCAGGAGTGTCAAATTCAGTTACCAAAAGGGACCAAAATTTAAACCTTGGTCCAAGACACACAGGCTAATTTCTGTACAAACATTAACACATATCAGAGGCCTGGCTTAATAACGACTGCTACTGGGGCTGTTGACAAACGGTGCTGGCGGAAATTGTGCTACTGTTACAGGTTGAACAACTGGGAGCAAAACAGGTCAGGAGACAGAGGGAGAAGAAGAAAGTCAAGAATGTAAGACTGAGGGTGGCAACTCTAAATGTGGGGACAATGTCAGGCAAAGGCAGAGAGCTGGCTGACATGATGCAGAGAAGGAAGGTAGATGTTAATACAGAAGTGCTTGAAAGTTTGGGAAGCCTTTAGAATTATTAATATTTCTACAACTTGCGACCTGTCCAGGGTTTCCCCCGCCTCTCGCACAGTGACTGCTGGATATTGGCACCAGTGACCCCTGTGACCCAAAAAGGAAGAAGCGGGTAAAGATGATAGCTGGATGGAATATTTCTGCATAAATATGACTTAAAGCATCATCAGATTTTCACACAAGTCCTAAAAGTAGATAAAGAGAACCCAGTTAAAGAAATGAGAAAAAATATTATACTTGGTCATTTATTTATTGAGGAAAATGATCCAGTATTACATATTTGTGAGTGGCAAAAGTATGTGAACCTCTAGGATTAGCAGTTAATTTGAAGGTGAAATTAGAGTCAGGTGTTTTCGATCAATGTGATGATGATCAGGTGTAGAAGTACATAAAGGGTCAGAAAGAACTCCATTGTGGATTTAGAAAAACATATGACAGAGTGCTGAGGGAGGAGGTGTGGTATTGCATGAGGGAATCTGGAGTGGCAGAGAAGTATGTTAGACTGGTACAGGACATGTATGAGGACAGCAGGACATGTATGAGGACAGCAGGACATGTATGAGGACAGCAGGACAGTGGTGAGATGTGTTGTAGGAGTGACAGATAGCTTCAAGGTGGATGTGGGATTGCATCAAGCCTCTTCTTGTTTGCGCTGGTGATGGACCGACTAACAGATGAGGTCAGACAGGAATCCCCATGGACTATGATGTTTACAGATGACATTGTGATCTGTGGTGAGAACAGGTGGAAGAGAACTTGGAGAGGTGGAGGTGTGCACTTGAAAGAAGAGGAATGAAAGTCAGACGTAGTGAGACAGAGTACATGTGTGTGAATGAGAGGGAGACAGGTGGAACAGTGAGGCTACAAGGAGCAGAGGTCACAAAGGTGCAGGACTTCAAGTACTTGGGGTCCACTGTCCAGGAAAATGGGGTGTGTGGTAAAGAGATGAAGAAGAAAAGTTTCAGGAGTGATTTGTGACAAAAAGGTGTCAGCAAAGGTCAAAGGAAAAGTTTACAAGACAGTGGTGAGACCAGCTACTGTATGTTGTATGGTCTGAAGACGGAGACATGGACAAAAAGACATGAGAAAGAACTGGAAGTGTCAGAAATGAAGATGTTGAGGTTCTCCTTAGGAGTGACAAGGATGGAGAAGATTAGGAATGAGATCATCAGAGGTACAGCACAGGTTGAACAACTGGGAGATAAAGTTATAGATTGAGACTGAGATGGTTTGGACATGTCCAGAGGAGGGACAGTGGGAACCTGCACTAAACAAAGTATGCTCAGTTTTTTTAAGTAAAATGGAAAGCAATCAGGATATTTTAAATTTAAAATATCATCTTGGGGGCCATATTTGACCCGTGGGCCTTGAGTTTGATGCATGTGCTTTAAAGGAAGCTCAGTCCATATGTTACTAAGCAGGAGAGCCTCTTTTGCCTTCTCTGACTTTATTGTTAAAGTGTTTTATACCTATCCTGATGCATGCTCAATAATCCAGGTATAAAAATCTTAAAAAAGCTAAGTCAGGTCTTCTGGGCGGGTTCAAAAAATAAAAATGAGAAGGTACTATTTATAAGACTGAGTTTGTTGCAGCTCCTCAGACTGACGAAGTCTTTTGGATTAAAGACGAAACGTTTCAAAAAGTTTTTTTTTTATGTTTTATATATAGATTTTTTTTTCACTTTGTAAAAAAAAATTTGATGCCAAGTGTGTGGTGTTAGTGCACTCAGAGAAAAGACAACAAGTGCAGCCCTCTGACGAAGCTGCACCGTTCTTCTAACCTCATTCAAATTTAAAGAAATGAGTAAGATCTTGGCCGCTAAAAATAGCTCCTGTTCACAAACTAAACACTTTCTAATTGAGGTACAGTAAAACAAATGTGGTTAAAAAATGTTTGTAACACAGGATGAACAGTAATTTTGTCTCTGTGCTTCAAAACCCAGAACAAAGATGAGGAGAACCCATTTTTGTTAATGACCATGACGTTAGAGTCAGTTACTCTTTCGTATCAGACCTTACTTTTCTAAAGTTTAAACTTTAGTTCTGAGGGGATGGCCACAAGCACACACAGTTTGTTAGACTCAGACATTTTATTTTGGTGTTAACGCCATTTAATAACAAACCTTTTCTCTGGTTTTTCAGGAGAGTCCAGTGGCTGTTCAGGTGGAGGTAGAGCCCACGTTCGTGGCAGTGGGACCGTACCACGTGGCAGTAGGGATGAACAACAGAGCCTGGTTCTACGGTAGATTAAAACAAAAACGTGTGTAAATGATCTTTATGACTCTTAGAAAAAACCTTTTTGTTTCCCTCAGGTGTGAAAAAGATAAAGGACGTTGAATATTTGGGGACCATAGCCAGCATGTGTCTGAACGCAGACTACGCAGCAGCTCTGTTTGAAGGGAAGGTGCAGCTGCACATGGTGAGTCCTTTTCCTCCTTTAATTAGCTAAACGGCGATTTGTTAACCAGCTCGGTGTGGTGTTTAGATTGACGGGAAAGGTACGGAGGACAGGAAGGAGATGAAGCTTTTCCCTGACGACGACAGGAAGGAGCGGATCGTTTGTCACGCTCTAACCTCTGACTTCCTGTACTACGGCACTGATGTAAGGGTAACCTCGTCTTCATCGCTCTTCTCTCTGCTTGTTGTCGTTCAGTTTCTTAATCACAGAACAACATAACCCTTACTTTAAGTCACTACAGTAGTAGTTCAGATCTTTTGAAGTTGTGTTCTGTGGAGGATTTATGAACACGTCATGTTTGGCCTGTTGTAGATAGAACAAGCTCATTTTGGCGAAATAAAGTTTAAATCTGACCCGACTGATGAGCTAACCGCTAGTCTGAGCGAGGTCATGATTAAAGTAGAATGCTGTCGTCTCACAACAGTTTCATCTCAAACATTTTGAAGCAGTTTATGCAGATGCTGTTGTCTAAACCTTTACACTTAAATATAACTCTGGTTATTTTCCAGCACAGTAAGCGGCAGCAGCCTAGCTGTAGCACTTCTGGTGCAGCCTGGGCCACTTCAAACAAGAGTGTCGTAAAATTTCTGCTGGAATAATGCAAACTTGACTGCAGCGTAAATGTTTATAATGGTTTGAATGAGCTGCTATGAAATGTTTTTTATTTTTTAAGTCTGCATTGATCCACTGGGTTTGCTCTGCTCGGACCTCTTTTAGTTTGTAACTCCACACTTAACTCTGTCCAAACTGAGGTCAAAGAGTTTTCCTACAACAGGTAAGATAATAACTGTTCACAACCTTTCCACTGAACTCAACTGTAAAAAATCAGGAGTATCTCTTTAAAACCACACAATAGTTTATTCACCATCGTTTAATTAAATTTCCTCGCTCCGACTCTTTATTTCTTCTGATTCGGTCTGCTTTTCTCCTCATGCTAGTTTGTTCTTCTGTCTCTCTCAGGTGGGCAGTGTAGTGAGCGTCTTGTTGGAGGACTGGGAGACGGTGAACAGCTACAACCACCCGGTCGGGGTCAGAAAGGTGTTCCCTGACCCAAACGGCACCTGGGTCGTCTTCATCGATGACAAAAACGGCGGCTTCCTGTTTTCCCCTGCCAACGTCAGCACATAAACATATTTCACTTCTACTCACTCAAATATGTTCAAATTAAAACAAGAAGAATGTAGAAACCGTATGTTTGGATTCAAACGGGTCTAAAAACTCTGTTTACAGACAACGGTCGCCTGCTTTGAGCTCCCCAACTTCTCTCCCACCATCACAGGAGTGCTGTGGGACAACTGGCACGCAGACCGAGGAGTGTTTGTGGCTTTTGACGATGACAAAGTCTACACTTACGCCCTGCATAAAACTACGATCTATGGTAGGAAGATGAAACGTGGTAAAAGATCCTCAGTGGTGATGTCAGCGCCATGTTCAGTCCTGCTGGAGAGGACGCTGTCAGCATGTTCTTCTTCGTGGTCTTAAATTGTGTTGTCGCTCTGCTCAGGCCCCCGGGTGGTGTTGGTGGGGAGCACCGCACTCCCATTTTCCCAGAGGCCTTTGCTCTTGTACAACGGCGAGCTGACCTGTCAGACGACAAGCGGCAAGATGAGCGAAGTGCCGCTGAGCACGCACTCGTTCCTCAGACGCTCGGCGGGCACGTGGACCGGGTCACCGGCAGAACTCAGCAGGCAGCTCAGCCAGGCTCTCATGCTCAAACGGTCGGACATCCTGTTAATGTGACTCATGCTGGTGTGGAAAGATTTGATCAGTTTTGATGACAAGATGATTTTCAGGTTTATAATATTAAAAGAATACAATAAATAAAGACGAATAAGATGTGGATAATTATGTTGTTCTATTGTAATATGCAGAAAAGCTTTCCTGTGCCAGTCCTGCACCAGAACCAAAGCAGATAAATGAAAAACATCTGTCTGCATCTGCCCCTGGAAAGCCATGGTGCAAAAAAATAAAATAAAAATTCCTGAATTCTGACTTTTTTTTCCTCAGAATTCAGAATAAAATTCAGGAGAAAAAAAAAATCTGTGCCTGGTTTTACGTAGGGTTTGCTGACAGCTGCATCAGGGAACATAATGAAATAATTTTCAGAGCTACAGCAACCTAACACGATAACATCATCTTTGTGTCCAGGTTCCAAGAGGCGTGGGACCTATGCAAGTCTGCGGGCGGAGATGCAGACTGGGCTGAATTAGGTAAAGCCTGTCTGGTCCACATGGAGGTGGAACTGGCTGTTCAGGTCCACCGCATGAGTGGCAACGTGGCTGTGGTCCTGTCGCTGCAGAGCATTCAGGTTTTAGCAACAACACAACTTTTATTTGTTATTTTTTAACACTTTGCTTATACAAGACTGAGCCTTCTTTTCTAATACATTGGACCCAACGCTCCCCTGACCTTTCTGTTATGTTCAACTCTTTTTAGGGCATAGAGGATAATAATTTACTGGCAGGACATTTGGCCATGTTTCTGGAGGAATACAACCTGGCCCAGGACCTTTATCTGTCTTCAAGCTGCCCGAATGCTGCTCTGGAGGTGTGTTGGTATTTCTGTGTAAGAGTAAAAACAGTGTTTTATCTAATGTCACACGTGAAAAGGTTGTCTGTGTGGATTAGATGAGAAGAGACCTCCTGCAGTGGGACAGTGCTCTGATGTTGGCCAAAAGGCTCGCAGAGGACCAGATTCCCTTCATATCCAAAGAGTATGCAGTCCATCTGGAGTTTATGTAAGCACACACACATCACACACACGGTTTGCACCATTTACAGGACCTAACCAGTCTGATCACTCTCTTTTGTTCCTTTCGCAGTGGGGATTATGTCAATGCACTGACAAATTATGAGAAAGGCGTGACGCTCAATCCAGAAGTGAGTGCCGGCTCAGAACAGTATTTTCTTTACTAATGATGCTGAGGGCTGAAATCTCTCTGAGGTCCACTCCTGCTTTATATTCAGTGTGCTTTAAACTTTGTCACTTTAAAACTTTTCCCAGGCTTCAAAACATATTTTGTGTTACAACTGCAAACTTGACTCCCTTCCCTCCAACGCAGGTTTGTTAATCCAGCTGGAATAAGCAGAGCGATAAATGAGAGAAACAGCACTTTTTCTTGATTGATTCACAGTGTTTACAGTCTAAATAACACATCCACACAGCTAAAATTAATTTCATTTTTCATGTTGTAACTATAACAGCAAGATGTTGGGTCTGTTCCTCCATGCACTTTTACCTTAAGCTCAAGATTAAAGATAATCTAAATTAACTTCAAAGTTCAATGTCAGTATACCACCTCACCTCTGAGGGGTAAGACTTAGAAAAGTAGTAAAGCTGTTGTAGGTTTTTATTTAGAAATGTCTGTAAGATGCAAATTTCTTAAGACTATTAATAAACTGTTATAATTTTTATTTTATATTAATTTAGTTTAACTCGGTTTATTTAGTGACAAACTAATTGAAACCATTAACTTTCAGAGCAGCTTAACATAAAATATTACTTTTATGTCTAATAGTTGAAAAGGTCACTTAAAATCTGTCTCCTGTCCAAAGTTAGTCTTGACTGTTTGTTATAGTTGCTTTTATTAAAAGATAAGTTGGTAAATATCAGGTTTACAGACTTTTGTATTCTCTTTTTTTTTTTTTGCTGTTGCTATTTTTAAAACAAAATTTCTTAAAGTAAGGAGAAAATCTCAGGTTTAGAGCCTCCCTCTCACCGTCCTCATGTTCTGTGCAGTTCCAGGAACACGACGAGGCGTGCCAGGCGGGTGTAGCCAGGATGTCCATCAGGATGGGGAACATTCGGAGAGGAGCCGCTCAGGCTGTTCAGCACCCGAGCAAAGTCCTCAAGAAGGAATGTGGAGCCATTCTGGAGAGCATGAAGGTAGAGTCCCTGTATGGCAGACTGACGAGGAGGCTCTGTCCAATCACCAGAACCACTCTCCTGGTTCTAAAAAAAGTCAAATCTGGTCCTCTGGACATTCAAAAAAACAAAACAAAAAAATTGTAGAAACATTTCGTCTTTATCCGAAAGACGAAATGTTTCTACAATTTTTTTTTTTTTTTTTTGAATGTCCAGAGGACCAGATTTGACTTTTTTAGATGTTTCTACCTGGATTATTGAGCGTGCATCAGGACGCTCTCCTGGTTCCAAAGAACTGTAGCAAAATGATGCTACGTCTCATGAAATCTGTTTTTGCAGCAATTCCCTGAAGCTGCTCAGCTCTATGAAAAAGGCCAGTATTACGACAAAGCTGCGTCGGTTTACATCCGCTGCAAGAACTGGTGAGACCAGCAGCTCCTATTATTACAACTGGGACCAGTTCTGTCCTTTTCTATGTAACCCCACTGTTTGATTCTTCCATTTTCAGGACAAAAGTGGGAGAGCTGCTCCCAAATGTCTCCTCTTCAAAGATCCGCCTGCAGTTTGCAAAGGCCAAGGAGGCGGACGGCAAGTAGGAGCTCTTTTCTGAGATTTATTTTATAAATAGACGAGTTTACCATATGTTAAAACGGTCTGAGTACTGAGTACTTTGTGTCAGGTTTAAGGAGGCAGCTCAGGCCTATGAGGGCGCTAAAGACTGGGATAACATGATCCGTGTGCTCCTGGATCACCTGAACAATCCAGAGGACGCCGTTCGAATCGTCAGGGAGACGCAGAGCGTCGATGGAGCAAAGATGGTGGCCAGGTAGGACGATGCTCACAGCTCTCTGCTGAGGTTTGACTATCAGAGTTTAAAAAAAATGTTTAAAATGCTTCTTCCATTTAATATTTGTAGCTTGTTTAAGTGAGAAACAAATGGATATTTACTGGACGCTTGAACTCGTTGCAGTTGTTTTTGGTGCTGGATCAAAAAGTTAAAATGTTAAAGAGGAGCATCTAAGAACAAATAAAATACACATTAAACTTTAGATCAGATCAACTGGGGTGTTCCGGTACTAGTTTATTTCATACAGAGTACAAATACAAATACTTCAGTTTGGGTACTTGCCGATACTGAGTACTGATACAGAGTTGGTACTTAAATATTACACAATGACTTTAGAAACATATCCTGATGCATGCTCAATAATCCAGGTAGAAAAATCTAAAAAAGTTAAATCTGGTCCTCTGGACATTCAAAAAAACAAAACAAAGCAAATCAACAAAAAAATCTAGAAACGTTTCGTCTCTCATCCGAGAGACTTCCTCAGTCTGAGGTGCTGTATTCAGCTCAGTCTCTTAAATAGCACCTTCTCAGAGTGGATCAACCAGTTTTGCTGCTGACAACCAAAACCAGCTGATCACATGGTCAAGAAGGACCATCAGCCTAACAATGGATCATTAGCACACTGATGGCTGTTTACTGTTCACAGGGGGCTGAGTGATACTAGCAATCACAGCATTGTAAGAGGGGGACAGTTGAACCCGGAGGCCTCCACCCCTGTTTAACGATGGACAATTTCTTTTCACAAAGATGGCCTCCTTTACTCCTCTCTCAAACCATCGTTCCTCTCTGTCCAGGATGTGAACATCTTCATCCCTGAAAGAGTGACCGCTGGCCTGGAGATGAGTGTAGACCGCAGAGTCCTGGCCTCATGATGTTGATCTTCTGTGCTGGGCCATCCTTTTGGCCAGTGGCTGTTTAGTTTCCCTGATGTAAGACTGATCACAGCCCTCCTGACACTGAACAGCATACACAACATTACTCTGTTTGTGCCGGGGGACTGGATCTTTGGGATGAACCAGTCTTTGCCGTAATGTATTATGGGGTTTAAAAGCCACTGGGACGTTGTGTTTAGAAAATAAACGTCTCAGTTTCTCTGATACTCCCTCAACATATGGAATGACCACTGGTCTGGGTCTGGGTTCCTCCTTTTCACCTGATGGCTGACTGGAGTCCTGTTTGGGTTTCTTCTCTGCTTTCAGGAAGGCCCAGTTAGGATATCCACATTGCTCTAGAGCCTGTCTTGTGTGGGATTTCTCCTTCTGCCTGGCTCCTGAGTTAGTGGGGACGCTGTCTGCTCTGTGATACAGAGTCCTGATGACTCCTAACTTGTGCTCCAAGGGGTGATGGGAGTCAAACTGCAAATACTGGCGAAACGAGACGAAACGTTTCTACATTTTTTTGTTGATTTGCTTTGTTTTGTTTTTTTGAATGTCCAGAGGACCAGATTTAACTTTTTTAGACTTTAGAAACATGTTTCTTTTATGAAGAACTCAGCAGTGTGATGTCTTAACATCACCTGAGTGTATCTTAAAATATATCAAGACTATATGCTTTTACTTTTTGTCCTGGGTTTATTGCAACGTGAGAGAGAAAATGACATCACCAAGTTTAAAAGTGGTATAGGTCCTAAGTGTCGGGGCATTTTTATAAGTACAAGTACTAGTACTTAAGGCTAGAATTGGCTTCATCTGCTTGCTACTCAACTTCTGGCCATTTTATTTAATTCTACACTCGTTTCCTTTTCTTATTGTTTGTTTGTCCTCCAGGTTCTTCCTGCGGCTGAACGACTACGGTTCAGCTATCCACTTCCTGGTTCTGTCTCAGTGCAACGATGAAGCCTTCCAGCTGGCTCAGCAGCACGGACAGATGGAGGTCTACGCAGACATCATCGGTCAGTCTGCGTCTGGACGTCCAAAAATAAAACTAAATGACCTTGTGCACTTTGTATTTGTGACCCAAGATGTTTCTTGTTGATGACACTAATCAAACGGCCTGTGAGGTGCTTATTTTTGTATAATTTCACGGTGTGGGGGTTGGACTCCTCAGGCTCTGAGGCGACACAGGAGGACTACCAGAGCATCGCTCTGTACTTCGAGGGAGAGAAGAAACATCTGCAGGCTGGCAGGTTTTTCCAGAAGTGTGGGCAGTACAGCAGAGTAAGAGACTGATTTACTCATCTGTCGTTTTTTATAACCCCCGTCGTTCATACAGCTTCCTTCCTTCTGTCCTCTCAGGCGCTAAAACATTTCCTCAAGTGTCCTAAATCTGAAGACAACCAGGCAATAGAGATGGCTATAGAGACGGTGAGAGGACACTGATTTTATCTGGACAAAACAAAGTGAGCATTCAGTTCAGTGTTTGTTGCACTCAGGTGGGACAGGCCAAGGACGAGTCTCTGACCAATCAGCTGATTGAATACCTGCTGGGGGAAAGTGACGGTATACCAAAGGTACATAATCAATTTGTTTTTATTTCTTTGTTAGTCGAGATGGTGATAGTATAATTGTCTTTGCTTGTGTCTATAACTTGTTTTTTTTCATGAGTTTGAAACAGCTGTGGTTCTGCCTCGATGTGAGGAAACGTGCCAAATGAAACCAAAGTTCAAAGGCTTTGATGCAAACATGGAAACAATCAGATAAAATGTGTTCGATTGTGTATTTGTTGCCGACTTCCGTGTCAACTTTTAAAGGATGTTGTTAAACTGTCAGAGCTCAGAGTGTGTGTTAGGGATGACTTCCAGCTGCTACTCCATCAGACTTTAGCCCGGTGTGTGTACAAAGGGCTGCGTTAGTCATTGGTGTGTCTCATGGCAGCAGGTGATAATTATTAAACATTTTATTAAACATTTTATTTACTATTATCTTTGATTTATGCATTTAGACTCCTGAAAGTTACAAGAGCTGATAATAATTTTCAACGTGTCACTTCCTCCCAGGAGGCCAAGTACCTGTTCCGCCTCTACATGGCCCTGCAGCAGTACAGGGAGGCTGCTCGCACCGCCATCATCATCGCCAGAGAGGAGCAGCTGGCAGGTCCAAACGCTCCGGCCAACCAGCACAGGAATAGAGCATCATGTGGCCTATTAGTGAAATGACGTTTTGTGTGTCCCACCCACAGGGAACTACCGTAACGCTCACGATGTGCTGCTCGGCATGTACACAGAGCTGCAGGCTCAGAACATTAAGGTCCCTGCAGAGCTGGCCAACAACCTGATGGTCCTGCACTCGTATCTTCTGGTCAAGGTGACAGATGTGTGGTCGTCCTGCTGCTCGTGTTGTAGATTTACTGGATTAGAAACCATCTGTGACTCACTGTTACTAAGGTGTGGGTCTGAGTTTACTAAACGCTCTCCTGAACATATTTACATTTAAATACACTCGTCATGAGCGTTAAAGTTCAATTAAAGATTTATTTAAATGCTTCCCCCCCCCCCCCCCCCCAGGGTTACATTTAGTTTAAATTATTAAAAAAATAAACAAGAACTAGAAGCACAAGTTTCTAGTTTCAAGTTTCGAGATTTTCTCAAGGTCGTAATTATACATCCCAGCTCAAATATATCCTCCCCGTATTGGCGTGTTGTTTTTGCACTACTAGTGCTTAGCGTATCCTTAGTTTAACATATTGCTTAGTTAATATCTTAGATCTTATTACTGTTTTTATTTTACAATTTATACTTTTGTTGGATGTAAGTGGGACCCTGTACACAATTTTGTTTCACCACATGTACCGAGAATGACACTAAATGACCTTGACCCCACTAGTATTCAGTCAAGGTGCAGCACATTAGGAACATTTAAATACACTTTCTGTTCTCATCAACAAACTTCATGTGTCCAAGTTTCAAGCAGAGGTTGTTTAAAATACAAATATATTTTATTTAAAATAAAAAATAAAACTAACCTTCCCCTGAATAAGGACACCCAGTGTCCTCAACACCAGGAAGCAGGGCCTGAAAGAGATTTTATCCATTTTTTGAATATAAAAATGCAAATTTAGGAGAGGACAAGCATTTAATAATTTGACAAGTGACATGATTTTCTCTATAATTAATATAAACAGTAAGTAAAAAAAAATAAAACTAAAGCAGACATATACATACCAGGAGGTGATTCCTAACTGATGTATTGCTAAATAACCAATATGTGACAACAGAGCTTTTGAAATTCTGCTCTGGGTTTTGGTGTGCCCCCCCCCCCTCCCCATGCCCCTTTAAAAAAAATCTGGATGTGCCACTGGTGTAAATACAAGAAACACTCTGAGGTTCAGCAGCTGTGATTAAAAATATTTCCACCTTGAAAAGCTTCATCCTCAGCTTTCACGACCCATTTGTTGTTTTTATGAGGCCATTTCTTTGAGTAATAAAACTGCTCTTTGATCACACGGGTTTAACAGTTCAGGTTAATGGACTGCTATCACAGCGTTTGAGCCTTGCTGCTGATTTATCTTTCTCATAATTGTTTTTTAAAAGCGTGTTTTTATGTACGGGTAGATTCACATGAAGAGAGGAGACCACCTGAAGGGGGCGCGGATGCTCATTCGAATCAGCAACAACATCAGCAGGTTTAACGCTCGTGAGTCGCCTTTACTCACGTCTTAACCGTATATGTCCTGATGCATGCTCAATAAACCAGGTAGGAAAATCCAACAAGGTTTAATCAGATCCTCTGGACGGATTCTTGTTTGTTGAAACGTTTCGTCTTTTATCCAGGGTGCAAGAAGTCTTTTGGATACAAGACAAAATGTTTCAACACACAAGAATCCATACAGAGGACCTGATTAAATCTGGTTGGATTAACCATATATGGTCCCTGATTACTAAATTATTTGTGTGTGTGTAGATGTGGTTAACATTCTGACGTCGGCAGTAATCGAATGTCATCGTGCCGGACTGAAGAACTCAGCCTTCAGCTTTGCTGCCATGTTGATGAGGCCAGAATACAGAAATAAGATCGACACGAAGTACAGGAAGAAGATCGAGGCGATAGTTCGGTGAGCGCTCAGGAATCACACCATCCACCTCACACTGCATTTAGTTTCCTCATCAACCAGTTTATTTCTCATATTTTCCACCCCGCCCCCCCAAGTCATCCCGACACGTCCGAGTTGGAGGAGGAAACCACTCCTTGTCCCTTCTGTGGCTTCCAGCTCCCGCAGAACGAGCTGCTGTGCATCTCCTGCAAGAACAACATCCCCTACTGCATCGCCACGGTAAACATGTCGCCGCTCGCACGCCGGAGTTCCCAAAGGCAACACGGCCTGCGATAATGCTCTTTTTATGGTTTCATCAGGGTCGTCACATGCTGAAAGAAGACTGGTCCGTCTGCCCACACTGTGAATTTCCTGCTCTCTATTCACAGTTCATTCTGTAAGTGCCATGCTGACGTAAACTCCTCTGCTCACACGATCAGATCTGAATCATGTGACCAACGTTCAACATTTGAGTGTCTGCAACGTTTAAATGTCCTTGATGACATCAGTTTTACAGAAGCTGCTTCGAACTACGAGTAACTAAAGTTAGATCAGTTCCCTTCAGAGTAAAAGTGCGCTGAACAACTGGCTCGTCCTAATTATGACACTATCGCTCAAGTATAGGCCATACAAACCCATTTTCTTCAGGCAGGCCCAAAGACTGAGTGAAGACACCTGTCCACTGTCTGAGGACACAAGATCTTTTAGTACAGTAGTTTTTAGTGACTTTGTGCATTTCTGAAAATGTTCACGTGAACAAATATCAAGTTTCTTTTCGTCATCTTCATCACGGCGGACTGAACCGTGGCTAACTTTGTTGCAGGCTGCTGGAAAAGGAGCCGACGTGTCCCATGTGCTCCAAGAGCCTGTGTGTGGACCAGGTGAAGAAGATCTCCGATTGTTCCAGTTACCTGCAGACTGATGACCTGGACCAGTGAAGAACGAGACAACCACTAAACCTGTTTACATATAAATATTGTTAAAATGTTATTTAAGGTTAACTTTTTTGTAATATTTTGTTTATTTCATACTATTATGTATTCTGTAACTTCAGTGTAACCGTTTCCTGTTCGATCCATCAGCTCAGTTCGGGATGAGAGGAAACTCAAAAAACAACCGCAAAGTTGTCCAAAAAACAAACAACTCATCAGTGTGCAGGTTTCAAGTTTCTAAATTATTCACCGTCAGAGATCTGGTTTTCTTCTGTGCGTTCCACTTGTTCAACAATATTTGTGTCATTTCAACAATTCATACATCAAAACGTTCGGCTCATTCAGGACTTTTGGTATTTGTGCATTTTACTTTTTGAAATATTTACCCTTTTGGTCCATGTTTTTTAATTGAAAACAGAGCTCTGTTCAAACCTTATAAAACCTACTTTTTGGTTGCAATGACTGCATTCTGATGTTAAGATTTCAGTTAATGCTAATTCTGCTCTGGTTTTTGCTAATATTCGACCCTGCTGTTGCTCGTTCTTTGCTGCCAGTCAACTTCTGCCCTGCTCACATTCTGCAGTTAAAGCGGATTCTGCTCTGCTTATTCTATAGTTTTTCTGCTTCCAGTGCTACATTTAGCCTTTTTTTACTCGTATTCCGCCCAATTAATGCTACAGCTGCACAGCATTTAGCTATTTTTTAGTTTGTATTCATCATATTCTAGTAGCTTTTCTCTACTTTTGCTTCCTAGCTAGCCTTTTTGTTTACAGCTAACGTTTTGCTACTTCAGCTGATAAGTAGCATTTTGCTACTTCTTTCTCATGCTCACTTCAGCTTTTTTCTGCTTTTCTTTGAGTTTTTTCTGTTTTTTTTCTTTCAGCTTCCAGCAAAATTCATTCAGCAATAAGCATTTTTGCAGGAAATGCTATTTGTTCTAATTTAGTTTAATTAAAGTTGAAGAGCAAACACCGTTTTATCAATTCTAATAATCTTTATGCTAAATGTTCTGATGTATATTTTCTCAAACTGTTGCGTTTCAGATCCTCTTTATATCTAAATGTAAAAATAAACTCCCCGATATCATTTTACACAAACGTTTGTTAAATTTTGACAGTGTCTGTCTTTCTTTGGCCTCTTAGAAATAAAAGACTAACATTAATGTGCAACATATTCCTCTATTGTGTAAAACATCAATTTACAAGAAAAAGATAACCGGCACAAACCGTAATACAAAAACAGTCTTCTCCATCATGGTCACATTATTTACATCCACGGTACGGGGACTGAAACTTTAGACCTTGGACATGATAGCAGGTGAAGAAGCAGCCAATATGCATCGTTTGTTCAGTAATGAGATGCAGAAGTTAAAAAGCAGGACGATCGTTGTGTTGGGACTTCAGTGATGAAGGTCAGATGAGTCCCTGCTGAGCTCAAAACCAGTTTCTTTAGTTTTTGTTAACAGGTCCATGTGAGGGCAGAGAGTCCTGGAGGCAGTTCAGGTCAGCAGTCATTTTTTAGCCTTGCCTTTCCCCTTTCCTTTACCTTTGCTGGAGTCTTCCTTCTTCTCCTTCTTTGACTCTTTGGTGGTTTTGGCCTTCTTCTGCTGCAGGGAAGAACCAGGTAAGTGAGCAATAACATTACAAAGCTGTTGTTTCAATCTGAATGTGCTTACTTTGATCATAGCATCAGTTTGGAGATCCTCCCCGTCGTCCTCAGACCCGTTTCCATCTGGGTCCACGTCCTCCCCTCCTAAGTCCCCACCAGCACCACGACGACCCTTCTTCACAACCTGCAGGGAGTACGGTGTCAGGTGAACCTCTCTGTTGTACGCTCGTGTGAACGCCGCCTTCACCTGAAAAGGACAAAAACAGAGAAGGTGTCAGATATTTAACAGAACAGTCACTTTCTATGAATTTATCATTTACAGCTCCTTGAACAGCTGTAAAAAGATCTAGAGTTCTAAGTGAACGCGTCCATACAGCAGGTGGGCGGTGTCAGCATCCCGAACAGTCCTCTGACACCAACAGAGTAAACTTCTCCTGCTCACCTTGGGGTCCAGTTTAGAGTAAGGATCCGGCTGTCCGCCCCAGCTGCTGACCTCCATGAGGCTGTCCACATCCTCCCTGACCAGCTGGTAGTCGTCCAGCAGCTGCACGGCCTGAGCGGCGCCCTCCGCTCCGTGCTTCTGTAGCGGCTGCAGCAGCATCAGTCGCAGGTAGTGCAGGTAGTCCAGGTTCACCGCCTGCCTGCTGCCCATTGTCCTGCAGGAAACGAGAGGAATCAAACGCATCAAGGACAAGTTGTAATCAACGAAAGTTGATAAATAATAATAAACAACTCACTTTAAGCTCATGTGAGAGGCCAGCTCCTGAACGATGCGGGCGTGTTTATTAGTGGAGGAGTTTTTGCCAAGCCAGCTTGGGAAGACCGGGAACTGGGCCATGTAGCCCCTCATGAGCTCCCCTGGTATTACGCTGGCATAGATGGCCTACAAACACACACTGTTATAAACACATGGCTGCGTGTTCGTGGTTCCTGCACAGATTTAAAGAAACCGTCTATCGAGCTGCGTTTTGTCTGTGAACATGTTTTCTGTGTCAGTAAAGTGCATGCTGGTGCAGTCATACATGAGGCTTCCACTCTTGCTGTAACACACTTGTAGTGCAGACCCTTCTACTCCAGCTCAACCTTGGTGTCCCTCTGCAGGCTGATAAGATGTCACGGGTGACGGCTCCCTCATGGTTACATTACCTGAGTGGGCAGCAGTGACCAGTTCTGTCTTGAGCGGATCTGCCTGTCCACCAGGTCGCCGTCACAGATGGAGTCGGCCGTCTTGCTGAGCAGCACCAGGTGGGACTTCACATCGCCGCTGCAGGTGGAGACAGCACGGGGGACAATTAAAAGGACGGTTTGACGGCAGGCGCTGCCAGCGAACCAGGAAGCTCGTCTCACCGAGCTGCAGCCGGACGCACGTGCACGTAGTTCTCTTGGACGAACAGCGGTGCCAGCGAGTAGTCGTGGAAAAAGAGGTCCGACTTGTCAATGAGGCTCATGTGGGCGTTTCCTTCGCCCGAGGCAAACACCTTCCTGCAGACGTCGAACGGCCCCAGCTTCATGTCCTTGCGGGCGCTGGCTGCGTCCGACTTGCACTGGTCGTACGTCATCACCTTGTCCTTGGCGGACCACATGCTCAGGTTGTGGATCACCTGCAGACAGGAGCCACGTAAGAAAACACCCCCACCTGTTGTAAAACACAACACTTCAAACTCTTTACCTGTCGCACGTCCTGATTGGAGGCCAAGATTATTTCATTGAGCGCCGGAGGTGGGATTTTAATCCCCTCCTTGTAAGCAATGGACATCATGGCTCCCTAAAAATAAAATAGTCACAGATTTGTGTCTTTTCGTCCATTAGGTTTTACTCTGCATGTTCCAACCTAAATGTTGCTGTCAGGTGAGGAGGACACGTACCTTGATCTGCTCCACCCGCGGCCTCTGGAAGCGCAGATCGAAGCAGTAGTTGGCCAACGATCTGATCTTGGGGTGGTTGCGATCGTTACACATGCAGATGATGGGAATCTTGGTGGTTTTGATCAACGCGATAAGTTCCTAAGAGACACAAAGTTACTGGTCAGTAAAAAACTCAAATCATCTGTAGGCGTGCCTTTATGACTCATTCTGACAACACGGTCGTATTTGGAGGATTTATAAAACTAAACCACCATAATAAAACCGTTTCCTCCTCTTGAACGTTCATATTCTGAGTGTGAAAGTTCAGAATCGTGACCAGGCAGCATCTCAAATGATATGAACTGTGAGAAACTGTCAGACAGAATGAAACACGTTTACCTGAACTCCTCCTCGGTCCTCATTTCCAGCCATCCCGTCAACCTCATCCATGATCATGACGTGTTTACTGCTGACGGTCTGAGACGTACCTGACACACACACATATTATATATATGTATATATATATATATATTATATATATATATATATAAACACACTTCCAACTCCAGACACAACATAAACACGTTTACTGAACAATAACTGAGGTGACGAGTTAATGTGGAAAATAAAAATATATTTCGTCTTTGACAAGTGACCTTTGACTCCGAATAAGAACAAATGTATTTTTACTTTTGTGTAAGAAGTAAAACCACAGCACAAACTATATATCTGGTAAGAAAAATAAATTAAAGAACAAGTAAAAGACGACTCAGTATTCGGTCGAATGCCAGCAGTAAGTCAGACCCCTTCAGGGTGGGAGTTGGACTCCACCAGAGCTGCCCATTGTCACAGATTCTGTTCATAACTTTTATGGACAGAATTTCTCGGTGCAGCCAGCTGGCGGAGGGTTTCCGGTTCGGTGGCCTCAGGATTCCATCTCTGCTCTTTGCAGATGATGTGGTCCTGTTGACGTCATTGTGTCGTGATCTTCAGCTCTCACTGGAGCGGTTCACAGCAGAGTGTGAAGCGGCTGGGATGAGAATCAGCACCTCCAAATCTGAGGCCATGGTCCTCAACTGGAAAAGGGTGGATTTCTTCCTTCAGGTCGAGGGTGAGGTTCTGCCTCAAGTGGAGTTCAAGTATCTCTGGGTTTTGTTCATGAGTGAGGGAAGAATGGAGCGTGAGATTGACAGACTGATTGGTGCAGCATCTGCAGTATTGTGGACGCTGTACCGGTCCTTTGTGGTGAAGAGAGAACTGAGCTGTAAGGCAAACCGATCAGGCTACGTTGAAACCTTCACCTATGGTCACGAGCTCTGGGTAGTGACTGAAAGAACAATATCGTGGATACAGGCGGTTGAAATGAGTTTCCTCCGCAGGGTAAAGACTCTCCCTTAGAGGTAGGGTGAGAAGTTCAGTTGTCCAGGAGAGACTCGGAGTAGAACCGCTGCTCCTCCACATCAAGAGGAGTCAGTTGAGGTGGTTTGGGCATCTGCTAAAGATGCCCCCAGGACGCCTCTCTAGGGAGGTGCTTCAGGCATGTCTGACTGGGAGGACAACTCGGGGAAGATCCATGACACACTGGAGAGACTGTATTTCTCAGTTGGCCTGGGAACGCCTTGGAATCCTCCCAGAAGAGCTGGAAGAGGTGGATGTGGAAAGAGATGTCTGGACCTCCTGCTCAAGCTGCTGCCCCCGAGAGCTGACTTCTGAACAACAAGCAGAAGAAAATGGATGGATAAAAGAATCACCACCTTTGTAGAAATCCTCAATACTGGTGTTGTTCAGCGACTCTGCAACGACTTCCTTCAGACTGTTCTTGCTGCGAGTGCAGCTGGCGTTCATCTCCACGTAGCTGAAGCCCAGCTCCTTCAAACCAAACGGTAAAATAAATAAAGTGAGGGCGACCGAACACACAGACAACACAACACACTGTCCACTGTGTTTTCATACTGACCTCACAGACTAGAGCAGCTGTGGTGGTCTTCCCTATTCCTGGAGGTCCAGAGAGCAGAGCAGCTTTAAATCCTGACCCGTCATCTTTGCCACCTCCAAATTTACCAAACCTGGCTGCTGCACAGAAAAGTAAACCATAAACACAATGTCTTTGGCATAAAACTGCACTTGAAGAGATTAAAGTCAGGCTCCTGCTACCTGCCGGCTTGGTGCTGTTCTGGTTTTTGCTCCAGTTCTGCAGCCAGCGGAGCAGCTTGTTGGCACAGCTCTGCTCCCCCTGCTGGCCGATCACGGCCTTCAGAGACCGAGGACGGTACTTGTCCACCCAAAGAAGACTCTCCCCCGCCGGCGATGGAGGCACGGTTTCTGGAGCTGGGGAGGGAGGAAGGCCCAGCTCCCTCCGAGCAGTCTGACCCGAGCCCCTCCCAGGTGGGGTGCTGCCATCACCAGTCCCGGAACTGTGACCCTGCGGCTGTCCGGTCTTCGAAGGGCTTGGGGTGTGGGGGGACCTGGAGTTACCCTTGGAGGGGGAGATCTTCTGCGCTTTGGGGGTATTCTTTGAGGTGTGGCTGCGGGGAGTCCTGGTCTCTGAAGCGTTGCTCTAATCCAAACAAAAGAGATTAAAATGAAAAAGCTAATCTCAACATAAAAACTGAGCAGGACCAACAGAAACTATTCATTTGATAATGACCTGTTTTACAGTGTGGTTTACAAGTGATTTTATTTTTTTTACAGGGCGGTTTACAAGTGATTTTATTTTTTTACAGCGCGGTTTACAAGTGATTTTATTTTTTTACAGCGCGGTTCACAAGTCATTTTATTTTTTTACAGGTTTATGAGTGTTTTTTATTTTGTACAAGTTTATGAGTGTTTTTTTTTTTATTACAGGTCTATGAGTGTTTTTAAATTTTTTTTTTTTTACAGGTTTGAGTGTTTTTAAGGAATATGAAAGGTAAACTCATATTTTCAAGATAAATAAATTAAACATGGGGGCAAAGGAAGTAAATGAAAGAAAACAATTTACACTTTGTTTTCTGTATCTTAAGATTCTGAAATACAAATAGAGTTTAAACTTCAGGTTTTAGAGCACTTTGCTAAATTAATCCTTAGTGGTTTGAATAAATGAAAATTTGCAGATTTTTTACGCTGTTGGTGACATTAAATGATTTAAAGCTCCATCATCTAATTACCGGTGCAGTATTTGTACATGAAGTGTAATTCTAATTTAATTGTGCAGGTTAAACTGATTTTACTGCTTTTATAAAGCCCAGTTTAAGCCAAACTGGAAACTAAGCCCATCTTAGAGTCGACCGGATGTGTTCAATATTTGAGTACTGACCTCCGCCTCCGCAGCAACCTCGTACTTTGACTTTTTTCCCGGTTTGGTTCTGATCAGGTCCAACAAACCGTCTTCATCAAGGATTTTGGTGCCCAAACTCTCCGCCTGAGGAAAGAATGAAAACCAACTGTTTCATGCGCGTTTGTTTTTTTCTCCATGTGAATGAACAGAATCTGTACTTTAAAGGCGAGTCACCTTCTCCAGCTTCGACGCTCCACCGTCTCTGCCCTGAACCAGGTAGGTGGTCTTCTTGCTGATATTGCCCGTCACTTTGCCTCCGTAGCGCTCAATCAGAGATTTGGCGTCGTCTCTCTCCATCGACTCAAGCACTCCCGTCAACACAAACGTGCAGCCCTCCAAACAGTTCTCCGCTCCCTGAAAACGCAGAGCGTTTGATGAAAACTCACCTCCAGGGTCACCTACGTGTAGAAACATTCGGCTTGGACGCAAACAGAAAGTAGCTCCTGCAGCTGATGGACCGTACCTTCGGGATTTCTTTGGAGCCCAGAGCTCGTGGTCCTTCTCTGTTGAGGAAGTTTCTGTAGGCTGAAGAGTGCAGCTTCTTCTTCTCTGCATCGTCAGGACTGATGCTCGTCGTAATCTGATCATTGGGCAGAAAAAAACAACCATCATTTAAAGTTGTAAGATTAAGTTCAGTGCAAATGAAAAGTCGTCTCACCTCAGGTTTCTTGGGCGAGACTTTAGGTGTGAACTTCAAGTCTGAAACTGGTGACGTAAGTGGTTCCTTTTTGGGAGAAACTTTGTTTTTCGTGGGTGTTTTGTTTCTTGGTCCTTCATCCTTCACCTCGTCCTTCTTCTTCATCATAGCCAGTTTGGAGCTGGTTCTGATGGGGCTCTTCTTGGGCGGTGATGGACTCACCCTGACCTCTGACCGGCTTCCTCTGGTCTTCATGGGGCTGCTTGTGCCGCCGACACCTGCAGCAGCTGTGCCGCTCTTCTCGGGGGTTGTGCTTGGACCTGGTTTATCTACCGAGACTTTACGAGCCTGGGGGGAGGAAACGTTTAAATATACAGTTTCACAAAAAAAGTGAGTGTGCCTTTTGGTTCCTACACCTTTTACCTTCTTGGCCTGTGGCTCTGCGTCCAGCATGGCCAGAGTTCTGGAGAACTCCTCATCCTCGTGGATCTGTTTTTCCAGCTGAGAGAAAGCAAAGTGGAATTTTAATTTTTTTTTAAGATCAGACGAGCAGACTGAACTATTTACCATCAAAGTGTTTCATTAAAAGATTCAGATGTTTAAGTATTAATGTGTGCTTAACGTTTGGTCCTAATCTTTTGGTTTCCATACAAACTCAAACACACTGGCTGCACACCATTTATCAACCGGCTGACATTGGCGAGCCAGCTGGGTGGAGTTTAGGCTCCATTTTCAGCAGCTCGTCAGCAGGGTTACCTTTGATGTGTCTGAGATACAGTTGTTTTGATCATCAAGGTCCAAATGTGCTGAAAAATATCAATAAATCTGACTGTGATGAATTCCAGTCTGTGAACCAGAAGGAGTTTCTGTTTTTATGTCTCTATTGCACATTTAAGTTTTCAGCTGTTATCAAGAAAGTAAGATCGTTCCGATGAGTTGTCAGTTTTAAGACATCTGCAAACACTTTACCCTCCATCAAAGAGAGAAACTCCTCCCTCATCATTGCTACCTGGGTCATACCCTGGCTAAGTGAAAAGGAGCGGACCTACTTTTGTGACGTTTACTAATAAATAAATTGCTCAGCTCATTTGATGGTTTAGATACTTCAGATGAAAATAAAGGATCAGGAAAAAGCAAATTATGAGTTCAAGTTATTATCTAAAGTAGTCCCTCGATTATCGCATGGGGTCCGTATCCTGAAGACCCGCCATAAGTGAAAAACCGCGAAGTAGGAATAGTAGTACAAGTAGTAATTAGTGTATATATATATATATATATATATATTAAGGTGTTTTAAAGCCTTTCCACACTCTTGCAATATTCTAAACAATGCTTCTAAACTCTAAATGAGCACATTATGTCATGATTTCAGCTCCCTGCCTCTTCTGCTCTTTGTCACCTGCAAGCGCTCTTGGCCACGCCCACTTCTCCGCTCTGCACGCTGAACATCTGATCAGCTGCAGCAGGAAATTTATCCTGCAGCAGTAAGGGCTGCACAAATGTGCAGCAGGTGCTAAATGATTTAAAATAATTTATTTTAAATAAAAATGTCATGCCGATCGTGCGGCTCATCCATCAATCAGCCAACTGTGTGACATGTCCAATCTTATTTTGAAAAACTGCGATAGAGCGAGTCTGCGATAAACGAAGCGCGACGTAGCGAGGGACTATTGTACGCTGTGCGTTCATAATGAGGGAGGAGGTGAAGATTGTTGGAGGTCAGGTGGTTGAAAAGACTGAACGATCGCGTGTGAGCAGCTGAAGGGTTGATCATATTTTAGTAAAAACAAAGTTCAGAAAACAAACACCAGACCATATTTTCTTCTTCCTTTTCCCTAAAGGTGATAAAATACAGCATAATGAAAGTGGTCGGTGTCAGACTGAACAGCTGATTCTATGACGTCGTAAACAGTTTAAAGATAAAGATGCAGGACTCCTGGATTTGTGAATATATCCTGAGGAACGATGAACATTTCAGACGCTTCTTGTCCCTCAGTTCCACTGAGTGAAGGAAAAAAGTTTCACTGTCTAATAACGAGGCTGTCAACCACGAGTTTCAGCTTCAATTACACGAGAAAACAAGAAGAACCTAAAAAACCAAACCCCTCGTCGCTGAGAGATTTGAACAGTGAGTGTTTGTAGTTTTTGAGGGGAGTGTTTTTCTGCACTGGAATTAAACTGGACGTGAATGTAAACAATGTTTTTGATGCGAGATATTCAAGTGTGCACGAGTTACAGTGCGCACAAGAATGAGGTAGGTTTATTTTCTTATCCGAGGCAGCGCAGAGTCATGGATCCTGACGAGTGGAGGGAGAAATTTATTCACCACCAGCTGCAATGGAGGAGCCAGGGGGTGGCCAATGGTGGCCTCGGCCCCCATAGATTAATCAGCTGCCACCGTCATTCGAGGCAACTATACTTTTAAGCAATATAAAAACTAGAAAGCATAGTTTCCTCAAATGACATGATTGGCTAGTTAACATATGGCACCCATATTGGATTTTTTTTTTCCAAAAGGAACCTGTCTTATGCCTAGATGCAGCCACACACTAAAATGGAAGTCGGCACCTCACATATTTTTAAAGTTTTGCTCATAACGTGCATGGATAAACAGAATGAGGGTATGTCCTGTTTCCCCTGTTCACTCTGCGACGTGGGGCAACAAGCAGCAGCTGTTGTTACCTCCAGCTCCTCTTCCGCCTGCAGCTGCCGAGCCATTTCTTCATCACTTATCAGGTCGTCCGAGTCTTGAGTTGGCTGAGGAACAGTTTTTACAAAGTTGGTTTGTTTAACAGTAAAGAAAGAGTTAGAAAAGAGGTGGGAGGAGCAGAGAGAAGAACTCACCGCCTTCCGTTTGGTGCTGGCTACCAGCTTCTTGTCTGAGCGGTGAATCATCCCCACGCCAAAGTAGTCGAGCACGGAGGTGGGTGTTTGTTTGGGCGGAGGAGGGGGAGCCAACTTAGGGGTCTTAGGCGCAGGAGGACTCTTCAGCCCGGCTTTGGCCTGACTGGAGGAGGGCTTAAAGGGAGACTTCACCTGATCTTTGCTTCCCGAGCGAGAGCCTTCTGGATCTGGCTTTGTGGTCTTGGCAGCGCCGTTCTGTTTGGAGACTTTCTTCAAGGACAGGAAGTTGTCACCGTCTGAGTCTACGAGCAGAAAGAAAAGACACTTTCTAATCCTAACAAAGAACACTGAGAGCAGCTGAAAGAAACATGTTCACATACAGTGGCTGAAACAGTAAAAATGTAGATCTGGACTAAGATGGAGAGTCACCTGTTTCAGAAACGTACTGCACAGGATCCTTTTTAGGAAGTCCTGCTTTGCTGGTGGTCCCTTTCTGCTTGGAGGATTTCTTTGACTTCATCACGGGCTCCTCTTCTTCCTCTTCTGAGTCTGAACCGAAATATATACAAAGACCGGAAATGAGCGATTTCACATAAAAATCTGCTTTCTAATAATAAATGTATTCTACTGTTTAAACCAGGCTATTTAAAGGCCCCAGCAGCTGATTTTACAGCATTTGAAAAGAAGTCTTAAACAAGAAAGGTTTATTTTATGACTTCATTAAGACGTGACTCCTTTCCTCTGAGCACGACAGAAGAAAACTAGATGTAAAAAGGCACGTTTCCATCACCGAATGTATCCTGTGAGCTGCAGTAACAACAATAAATGCTATAATTCTTCAAGCCAAGAGAGAAGTTGGTTTCCCGCGGCTGCAGAAAGAAAAGAAGGGTTAGCCTCGAAACAGGACGCAGCTTCAATACGTCTGCATGAGAAACTGCAGAGGTCACACTGTGGGGGTGTCAAGTTTTCAAAGAAGAGTGGAAGGAGAAATCACGGCCTTTAGTCACATCAGCGAGAGTCTGCATCAGCTCTAAATGTTGAACAGCTCAAAGCTCAGCCTCCGGACAAATGATCGTTAATTCAGTCGCATCTCGTGTGTGAAGATTCAAGCGACTGTCTGAAGGTAGACGGGGCTGGGTTACTGCGTACATTAGCTCTCGGGGCATCCATAGCCTTTATCTCAATATTTTTGATGTTAAAGTGTCTCGATGCTTTAAGGTTCAGCTCATTCAACGTTTGTTCTGGCCTTTTATTTTGTTGAGGCCAAACAAATAAATTAAAAAGATCAACCTTTCAATCGGTCAAACAGAATAGAGTCGATCAGGTTTAAATTACGATCGTTTATAAAACTACAGTGCACATTAAGGTTCACAAGAAAACAACTGCAGGCAAACAGTGGCATTTATTAGTGATGGGTCTGACGACGCTGAAACCTCGGTGCATGCGCCGAGCAAACAAGGCGAAGCCCGTGTCGGAGCGCGCATCTCTTTAAGGAAAACCACATGACCGATACGGTTACTGTATCGTTTGGTTGTGAACGTGCCAAATTGTATTTATGAGGGAGAAAATGTATCGACACGTTTGTGGGTTTTGTTGGATGGAGATAGTTTGTGTTCTTTGCTTTGCATTGATTTTTGTCTCGTCATTGATTACCATGGATCAACCAAGGAAGAGAAAGTTTGTGGGATCATTTTAATCTTATCACGGAAAAGAAGGTAAATTATTCAGTTCTTGTTTCCACTATTGATAAATTTTCTTTTGAGTTATTCTAATTTCTTTCTGAAGGGTATTTGAATTAATTTACATGGATTAACTTTTACTTCTGTTGTAGGTGAAATGTAGGATTTGCTCCCAGGTGCTGTCTTATCGAGGTACAGATGCATCGCCGAGGTGAACACACCAAGATCACAGGATTTACTACAACACTGGAAAACGAAAATATTAAATTACCCTACGTTATACAAACTTGCAATGAAATTTCTATGTTCACCGTCATCATCAGTGTGCCCTGTGAAATGGTGCTCTTAAAAGCAGGAGAAATGGTTTGTAAACGATGCAATCGCCTCAACCCAAAGATGTTACAGCAGCTGAGGTTTCTAAATAAAAACGTGTAAATGAACCTTGTTCAGTCTGTTTCCAGTCTTTGTTGAATTTGCCTGCAATGATCTATGCTGGTGAAGATTCTCAGTCATCCAGGACATGGTAAATCCAAAAACATTCAAGTCAAAAACAACTGGACTTTATTTGTAACAGAAGCCGTTTCGCTCCTCATCCGCAGAGAAAACTCCTCGGATGAGGAGCGAAACGTCTTCTGTTACAAATAAAGTCCAGTTGTTTTTGCCTTGAACCATTTGGATTTACCTGCAATGACTTTTTAAATCCAGCAGATGTCGCCATTAAGTGATACAGCAACACAGTTTCAACACGGTGTCGACACAGTTTGGGAAATGTGCCATACACCCAGTGAGGCCTCACCTGCCCATCACTAACATTTACTTTGTTTAAAAGTTGCAAACTATTTAAAAATATAAGCTTATTGCTTCTGATCTTTATCATATCTAGGAATCAGATTTGAAATCTGAATATAAAGTATGACGTGCTCTGCAGCTAAAAGGACTCGGGAGCAACAAATCATGCATAATATCTGTAAATGGTAAATGGACTGTACTTATATATATATATATATATATATATATATATCATCTTTCTATCTGATCAAGATACTCAAAGCTCTTTACACTACGATCTGTGTCCTCATTTACCCATTCATACAGCGCTCTACTAGATCTCTACAAAGAATAATCAGTGATTTATCACATTCATGCACTGATGGGACACATCGGAGACAATGAGGGGTTCAGTGTCTTGCCCAGGGACACTTCAGCATGTGACTGCTGGTGGAATCAAACCCCCAACTCTTCAATTAGAGGACGACTGCTCTAACCACTCAGCCACCCCTCATCTGTGATGTGAGGAAAAAATAAATAAATTCAAGACGAAATTGCTGTCCCAGATTGGTGGAGTAGTTTAAAGACAATGAAAGATGTTATTTCTTATCTGTCTCACCTGATTCTATCACCGCACGCTTCTTACGTTTTCTCTCACTGGTCTTGCGTTTCTCTTCCGTTTTGGAGATTTTAACCTGAAAAAACACAAACAATAAGAGGAACAGATGCTTTTGTTTGTTTTTAATATTGATAATCATTTTAAAAAGTCAGCATCTCCTTGCCTTTGTGCTCTTTTTCTTCTCTGCATCTTCATCTGAAGACAGAGAACTCTTTTTCTTCTTGTGCTTTGGTTTGGTGTTTTCACTTGGAGCTGGTTTCTGCACCGCAGGCTTACCCGATACCGGTCCAAAGAACCGCCTGATGTCCTGAGCACACAACAAACAGCTGTTTATATTGCATTGTGCTAATTAAATCAAACCTGCAGGATTATTGTAAGAGCGCAGCGGTGAATTTATTTAACAAAAGGTCAGATACAAAAAGGCATTTAACCCATAATGCAATCTGTGTTGATGTGAATTCAGAAGTTGACAAGCTGCTGCTAATTTAGCTGCTGTTAATGTAGCTGCTGTTAATGTAGCTGCTGTTAATTTAGCTGCTGTTAATTTAGCTGCTGTTAATGTAGCTGCTGTTAATTTAGCTGCTGTTAATGTAGCTGCTGCTAATGTAGCTGCTGTTAATTTAGCTGCTGTTAATGTAGCTGCTGCTAATTTAGCTGCTGTTAATGTAGCTGCTGTTAAT